CGCTGTGACGTATGCGGCCGACAAATTCGACCTTCGGAGGACCCGTCCTGCCGTTTTGGACACAGCCATTGTCTTATTCCATAATTGTTCATATTGAACTGTAATTTGGATTGTCTTTTGAACTGTGCTTCCATCTTTCTTTAAGCTCCATCAGTCCCAGCCAGACCAGTATGAGGCCCCAGACAAAGACTTTATGATCGTGGCTTTGGATCTTCTGAGTGGACTGGCCGAGGGTTTGGGAGGCACCATCGAGCAGCTGGTTGCTCGCAGCAACATCCTCACTCTTCTGTACCAGTGCATGCAGGTGAAGATCTGTGCGAGTGGTCAGTCAGATAACTTGATAAACAGAGATGGCTCACAGGTTGTTTCCTCCTGCTGCTCAGGACAAAATGCCAGAAGTGCGACAGAGTTCTTTTGCTCTGCTCGGGGATCTGACCAAGGCGTGTTTCCAGCATGTGAAGCCGTGCATCGGTACGTTCTGTGTCTCTGAAACACTGCTTGTGAGGACGTTTTCTGTCAGTCGCTGAGATAAGATGTTGACTTTTCCTTTTTTCAGCTGATTTTATGCCCATACTGGGTACTAATCTAAACCCAGAGTTAATATCTGTGTGCAACAACGCAACGTGGGCAATTGGAGAGATCTCTATACAAATGGGTGAGTGCTTGTTTTGCCCCAAGATGTTTTAGCAACACATCCTCAATTTACAAAAGATGCTATAGTCAGTATTTCACTGAGCTGGTGCAGTTGGAAATTACCGTATTTATTCAAGTACAATACATAAAATTAAATCCATAAAATCATCCATAAAGTTGGGGGGTAGTACTATGCTCTGATAAATATTTTTACTTATGTATTTTAACTGAAATATCGGCTTCATTCACAAATTTATTGAGTCCGGAAATGAGTCCGCCTCGTAAAAAGCAGTTGAAACAACCTTACCCCTGACACTCCTCCGTGCTTCAGAGCGAGATGATAACAGATCCAGGCAGGTGACATGATGTGAAAAAAAGTGGGGAAAAGTAGTCCTGCAGCTTAGTAATGATAACGAACTAATGACATTATGTGTGACCGAGCCGCTTCTCGAACAACAACAAACACATGTTCGTCTGTAATGGCTGCTGTCTGCCGGTGTTCTGAAAAAGTTTGTATCCCTGAAAAAAACATTTCCTCACCAGAGGGGGCGCTCGCGAGTAGGAAGTAATCTGCTTTTCCCCCACAAGATGGTCCAAATCTCATGTGAAGTCTCTGACTTTTGTCTTGGCGCCTCCTGGTGGACTATGTGTAAAATGCCAGAATTCATATGATGCTTCTACAGCTGATATACACTCACCGGCCACTTTAGTAGGTACACCACGCTAGTAATGGGTTGGACCCCCTTTTGCCTTCAGAACTGCCTCAATTCTTCGTGGCATAGATTCAACAAGGTGCTGGAAGCATTCCTCAGAGATTTTGGTCCATATTGACATGATGGCATCACACAGTTGCCGCAGATTTGTCGGCTGCACATCCATGATGCGAATCTCCCATTCCACCACATCCCAAAGATGCTCTATTGGATTGAGATCTGGTGACTGTGGAGGCCATTTGAGTACAGTGAACTCATTGTCATGTTCAAGAAACCAGTCTGAGATGATTCCAGCTTTATGACATGGCGCATTATCCTGCTGAAAGCATCCATCAGATGTTGGGTACATTGTGGTCATAAAGGGATGGACATGGTCAGCAACAATACTCAGGTAGGCTGTGGCGTTGCAACAATGCTCAATTGGTACCAAGGGGCCCAAAGATTGCCAAGAAAAGATTCCCCACACCATGACACCACCACCACCAGCMTGAACCGTTGATACAAGGCAGGATGGATCCATGCTTTCATGTTGTTGACGCCAAATTCTGACCCTACCATCCGAATGTCGCAGCAGAAATCGAGACTCATCAGACCAGGCAACGTTTTTCCAATCTTCTCTTGTCCAATTTCGATGAGCTTGTGCAAAATGTAGCCTCAGTTTCCTGTTCTTAGCTGAAAGGAGTGGCACCCGGTGTGGTCTTCTGCTGCTGAAGCCCATCTGCCTCAAAGTTCGACGTACTGTGTGTTCAGAGATGCTCTTCTGCCTACCTYGGTTGTAACGGGTGGTTATTTGAGTCACTGTTGCCTTTCTATCAGCTCGAACCAGTCTGCCCATTCTCCTCTGACCTCTGGCATCAACAAGGCATTTCCGCCCACAGGACTGCCGCTCACTGGATGTTTTTTCTTTTTCGGACCATTCTCTGTAAACCCTAGAGATGGTTGTGCGTGAAAATCCCAGTAGATCAGCAGTTTCTGAAATACTCAGACCAGCCCTTCTGGCACCAACAACCATGCCACGTTCAAAGGCACTCAAATCACCTTTCTTCCCCATACTGATGCTCGGTTTGAACTGCAGGAGATTGTCTTGACCATGTCTACATGCCTAAATGCACTGAGTTGCCGCCATGTGATTGGCTGATTAGAAATTAAGTGTTAACGAGCAGTTGGACAGGTGTACCTAATAAAGTGGCCGGTGAGTGTATATTTCTTGTCAAAATACCTTTTAGTACATATGTTGTTAAAATAAAATGAACAGTCCAATGATCATTTTACTGATATGAATAAAGACTGCAAAGGCTGAAAAATCTTGAAGTCTGTATGAAATTGGAGGTGGTTTGAAGATTAAATTTTTTTATGCTTTTTAAGCTCAGAAAGTGGGGGGTCATATTATACATGAGATCGTATTATACACGAATAAATACGGTGGTGACAAAAAAATACTAGAAAACATGCTTAGCTTCAATTACCGTTCAACTGAATTCTTGATGTTTGCAACCAAGTCAGCAATAAGATGGGTAGCCATGCTTTGTGGGGTCATTTTTAGAAATCACAGCCTATTTTTATATGCATGGACTGCAAAACCGTTTCCTCAGCTGCATATTAATCCTGTATCAGACTGTATCTCCAAAATGTCTCAACTTGTTTGCAGGAGGTCTCAGTTTCCTCACGCTAATGGTGTGTTGTTTGAATTTTGAACATTTTACAAATGACTGGGTGACGGATTCTCCCCTAGCCTGACCCTTGTCCTTCACTTTGCTTGATACGAGGGTCGGGACTCTCGACTATAGAGAAGGGATTCTTGTTGGAGGCGTGGCCTCTGCTGAAGTTTAATAGGATTGGATCAGTTGGCTGCGACTTATGTCGCTGTGAAGGAGGCTAAGCTAAGAAGCTAACCGGAAATCACGTGTGCTGTAAACAACCCTACTGAGAGAAGTGTCGAGCCGAATGAGACGACTGTAAATGAGAGCTGCTGCTTTGTCGGACAAATTTATTTTAATTTGGAAGCCTTATCAACACGGACTGGCTTCATTCACTTCCCCCACTGCCGTATGCTAAACTAACTAGCAGACACTGCACAGAAAATCAACGATGTTCAAAACTCCTCCTTCTGTTTGCTGATTGGCCCAGGTAAAATAAACTACAAGCAGACACTGCACAGAAAATTGACGTTCTGTTCTCTGATTGGCCCGGACGAAAATTCTCCCGAAGAAATCCTTGTCTATGGTTGTGTTTCCATCCAATTTTAACGCGAATTTTGAGCGAATTTTTTAAATTTTGCAAAAAGGAAAAAACGAATAAATGTGAATCAGACGTGTTTCCATCAACTGGCTTGAAGAGAGTCAGTTATGTCAGACGCATGCGTGTGGTAAACAGGAAGTAAAAGTCACATCTCAGGATAATGGAGAGACGTTATCAGGAACGTGTTGCTACAATCGGGAAAGTTGTAATTATTCTGTCATCAACTAGTTTTGGCGATTTTACATGCGGTCTGGAGACGTAGAGGAAGTAATGCAATTATTTTCACGTTACGGGATTAACTGAGAAGACGCCGACAGCGGGAGGAGGCTCCAGCTGCAATCGCGGCTGCTTTCACTCTGGTACCGGTACCGGTTTCGGACAGACAGTGGGAACAGCTGACCAACCATGTGAGGTAAATGTTTGCTACATCAGAACTGATTTGGCAAACGTGTTTCCATCTGTCCTTTGGTGCATTGTCTTTTTCGAAAAAAACAAAACAAAAACCACTTCAAGCGAGCGTATCAACTTTGATGCGAATTAGAGGGAGTTTTTTCGAATCAAGCCGTTTTCATTCACCTTTTCTGATGCGATACTTTAAAATGCGCATCGAAAACCTAGATGGAAACACGGCTTATGGGAGGAATCCCAGACGGAGCAGTGAAGGGAAACTAGAATTGAGCGGAACTGCGTAGGAAGGCAAGGGCCAGGTTACTTCTCTCCTAAAGTAGTTGCTGACTTGGTTAACTCAAACTCTTTTCAGTTTAGTTTTGTAATTCTAGAGTGCTAGAGTTGTATTTTGATACTGACACAGGAGTGCTCCATTGGACAGAAAACATCTGAGGCTACATCCTTTAATGTTTAGGTGAAGGTGAGTAAAAGTGAGCTGGGGTGGGCTCACTGTGGGCGGATGCGGCCAACGAAATAATTCCATGGCCAAGAAAACAGTTCTGAAAGTTGTACTCCCAAAACTAGGTTTTGGTTTAAAAAATGGTTTGTGTGAAATACGACTGTACTGGTTGCAAATTCAGTGAGTCTGCAACAAAATATTTTCTTACAATTTTGCGTCTCCAACAGTGGCAGCTCAGTGAGATACTGGCATATGTTTTTAATAGCTTAAACTAATTTCCATTTGTCATTGTGGTGCTCAGGGCCCGAGATGCAGCCGTACATTGCCATGGTGCTGCACCAGCTGGTGGAGATTATTAACCGACCCAATACCCCAAAGACTCTGCTGGAAAACACAGGTACCACACGCTGGTAGTGCTGAGCCAGCCAGCCAGGTGGCCACACACTCAGGGAGGTGCTCACTCACTCAGGTCCCACCCAGCCAGTACTGAGTCCACCACACACAGAGAGATGCCTGTCCTGCCCTTTCAATCTCAGTCCAAACAAGCCCACTCAAAGAATGAGCCTTACAGGTTTTGCTGGTTTCACTTAAGTACGTCCAAATATTTCGGGTATTGATTTGCAGCCTAGCGCCAAAGCCTTTTGAGTTCAGATAAAAGAAAATAAAACCACGGCAAAGCTCTGGTGCTAAATTCCTGACATTCCTGAAATGAAGGAAACCATGTAAGAGCCCAGTCTTTGAGTCCACTAACTGAACTGACTGACAGGAGAGAAAAAAGATACATAACAGAGTGAAACATAAGGCTCAGACTGAGACACAAGACTTCAGATCCTCATATAGTTCAGTCATTTATCTAGAAGTAAACCACCAAACAGAGAGAAAAATCTTTCCCTTGTCCAAGTGGTTACACTCTGCTTTTGTTTCTGTCAATTGATTTGAAAATTACAATTTGATGAGTCAAAATGACAATCTAATGAAAATATGCATGCAAGGGTGAAGTGTGACCTTCCACAATCCGACAACTTAGGGACTCTGTAGATGTGTACCTGTTTGTTTGCTGTCAGTTTATGTGTTGCTTTAATTTACTGTTCTTTAAATGTGAATGCATATCTGCCAATAGATGTTAAATGTTGTTAAGAATGGCCAATGTTTGATGCAGGATACACACTGAATAAAAACGTTGTATTGGAATCCGAAGCCCTGTTCAGACCCGTCGCTAAATTCCATCCTGAGCGATCAGATTGCAGTCCGACAGCACTAAGTGCAGCTGTGAATGGTAAAAATGTTTTCACTTAAACCATCTTTAGCGTCTGGACCCCTTTGATGAACACAGTCTGTCCTGATCCTTGATCCCTGGTCTTCCTGCTGAACTGACCTGGTCTCACCTAGAGCAGCACTTGTTTCCTAGAAGTCTTGTGGTCATTGATTGAAAATAATTCAACAGCCGTCCTTGGGAATATTCAGCTTTTTTTTTGTATACTGTATATTAATTACATTTTTATTACCAAAACACTGTGTGGAGAGTTTCTCTGTAGTTTAATTTTGGTGCTGATTGGACCTGAATTGGTCAGTACATAGTAAGATATGCTGTGCTAATAACAGAACAGCAGTCTGAGCAGTCGTTTGTGACATATTTACCTATTTAAACTGATTTTATCTTCACGGTAAAGATTTAGAGAGCAGATTATGCTCCATTGCACAGTTTCTGTTGTGGAGATTGAGGGATTAAAATCTTCAGTCTTGGCTCTGACCCTGAGCTTTTTTTTTGTTTGTTTTAATAGTTTATTCATTTTGATTAAAAACAAAAATTCAATATAACAAAAAAAGAAACACAAATCTCATAAAATGAAAGGAAGCAGATGAAGAAAAAAATCTTATCTGCTCCTATGTAACAAAAAAGAATAAAAATATATACACATTTATACGTGTACACATACACACATTCATATACCGTATGCATACGAATACATATACACATGCACATGTATATAATTTTACACACTCATTAGCCTAAAAAAATTGATTAACCCCTCAAACATCAGCTTCATATTTTTTCAACAATTTAACATTTATCATTTTACCAAATAAATTAATCGAGTCAGCATTTTAATAATCGTTGTTTCAATTATCCCACAATCTTATTCCTTGAACCGAGGTACATCTATCCTTCAAGTTTGTTCGAATTTTAGGTTTATAAACATTTCAAACCCTTTCAAATTCTAACAACTTTCCCTCTTAACAAAATTAGATTGAATATKCAAAGGCAATACATTTTTATGAGCCCTATACATAATCAACAAAATCTTATAATCAACCAACTCATGAAATTTTAGTAATTTCAATTGCTGAAACATTAGATGGGTGACTATAATGTTTTCTGGTAACAATTCTTGTGGGAAGTCACTAATCATTTTATGCACATTAATTTCTCTCATATTACATTAGTGAAGTAATCAAGTTTATTAATTGTGTTCTAAATAACTTCATAAAAAAATATGACTCAGATGCCTCTAAACTACATTAATATCAAACTAATATTACAGTTTGGTTCAGAATGTTTTGTAACGTCTCTAAAAACATCCCTCTGTGTGACATTTGGGTGAATGCATTTATCCGACAGGTGTAACCCCGGATTTACACTGTGCCCACTCCACTTCGCTACTGCACGAACTCTGCGAATTCTTTATAGTTGATGTGAGCATTTACATTACATCTGCAGCTGTGTGCACGACCATCCTGCAAAATTCGACTCATTTCTAATTTTACCAGACGCTGTAGCAAGTTCAGAGTCGATCTTCAAAGATCACATCACGCCAACAGTAGATTAAATGAGCACAACATCCATATCGTCTAAACCAGGGGTTAGCCTTTTTGACCTCGAGGCCCAATTTGTTGAACATAAAATGGCACGAGGCCCAGTCAGACATTACCAATGTATGGATCAAAATGATACTTATTTTAAATCTTGGTTTAATTTTTATTGTATTTACATCATAACTAAACTATCATAACTACATTAAATACACTTACAGTTTAAAAGTAAAACTCCTGTAAATTAATCACAAGACATGATTATAACAAACATTTTTATATTGTAACCTGCCCATAACAATTATTTGAACAAATACAAATAGACCACTCAGGCTTATCAACACAAATATATATATTTATTAACATAAACAATAACAAAAATAGACAATTCAAAAAATAAAATTGTGGGCATAAAATAAATGAATTAAAAATGTTTAATGTAAATGTTTCAAATAAAAAAACTAAAAACAAATTTGATAAAGTAAAAATGAAAATAGAGCCTTTTTAAACTTCTACATGGTAGAACCAGAAGCTGCTCTTCATATTAGTGATAAACAAAAACAGTAACAACAGCTTTTTGACAAGTTTAAAATTTCTTTAAAATACATTCAAAATGTTTAAAAATAAACTACAAAAATTAATTTAAAGTGCAAATTAAAATATAGTTGTATCTACAACTGTATTTGATAATGTTTTGAACTCTTAAAATATTGCATGGTAAAAACAGAAGCTGCTCTTCATATTAGTGACAAACTTTGGTGTTTTTTGCAAGTACCCCCGGCTGCAGACTGCGGATTAGGATACTAGACGGGCTCGGACGTCCAATGGGTGTGGTCATGGCTTGTAGGAAAGTTTAATAGGTGGCTTAAAAAATTGGGCGTGGTTAATTTTAGTATTTAGCATCTGGGTTTGTTTAATTTTAGAGTTGAGGGCGGGGTCAGACAACCGACCCCGCCTGTTATCCGACCCCGCCCCATGCCACGGTCTGCAGCCAAGGGTTACTCGTTTTTTGACAAGTTACTTTCATTTTTGCTTCTACTTTTAATTTAAAATAGGTTTCCATTGTCGACAGGTTTCTAAGTTTCTTCTTCTACTTATTAAAAAAGTTGTTAAACATCTGAGTGGTGCACTACTGCTACTAGTGGTGAGAAAATGTATTGCACCTTATTCAAAATCAATGTGGTCCCACGGCCCTCTGCGGCCCAAAAACTGTTGTCCTTTTGAAGCCCTCAAGGTGGCGCCATATGTTAAGAATCTCTGGCCTAAACAATTCACCAAATACGGACTATATTTTCTCAGAATCCTAGCTATATTAACAATTAAATGAGTATATTTATACTTACATGCTGTCAAAACGTATGATTTATGGCAGTGCGTACACACATAATACAAACAAAACATGGATTTTATTCTGAAATCAAAAGATTCAAAATGACAGTGATGCAGTTTCAACTTTTGGTTTGAGTTCATCTTCCATAGAATGAACTGTTTCCATCTGTTTCAGCATCACTGACTTTATTGTGCAGTCTTGCATTTCCTGAGCGTGCTTCAGAGCACCCCTGGGCTTTGCAAAGGAGCAGAGCGGACACAGTGTAAACCGGGGGTAACCCCTCTTAAAACAGTCCACATGCAGTCGGATCACACAAGATGAACGTTGGTGCACGGTCTGAACAGGGCCTAAGAACTGAGAGCACGTATGTCCACCTAACCAAGTTTTAAAACCTTATATCAGCCAAAAAGTCTTTTTGATCTTGTTGTGAGACTGATTTACTAAACAAGAACTTGTGTAAGAGCAATAATCTTGTTTTCAGAATGTGTAAGATTATTTAAATAAGAAAAAATTGAGTCAAATCAAGTATTTTAAGAATCTTACCAAGTAAAATGTTCTTACTCCACTGGCAGAAATGTTTGACTTAATTTGAGTCAAATTTTCAGACTAACAAGACAAATAATCTTACACATTCTGAAAACAAGATGATTATTCTTACACAATCAGTTCTTGTTTAGTAAATCAGTCTGAAAACAAGATCAAAAATCTAGTTTTAGCTGTATATAAGTTTATAAAACCTGGTTAGATGGACAGTTTTTTGCAGCGTATTGGAAACATCACAGAAAGCTGCAACGAACTACATTAGAGGGCAAAGACTTTTCAGCCACGTGCAAATCAAATATGAAAACCTTTTTCTCAGCTACATTTAGCGGCTGTGTGAAAGCTGGCTGTGGATTCTTGGAGTGCGTAGTGGCACTCCTTGGTTTGTCTGATCAGCTGATCCTGCACTGAACTTTACTCTTACGAGCATACCATCTGCTTTCTGCATGTGTCATTGGACTGTTCATAAATGCCTGTTTGTTAATGAGAATGTTGCATAGTTTTTGTGTCTTTTAAACTTAGGTTCTCCCTCCTCTCTGCCTCATAAAGAACCTGCTGTGCTGGATACTAGTCTCCCTCCATGTAGTTGGCTTGGAGTAAACTGTCATTTCTTTACAACAACAACAACAACAAAAAAAGAAAGAAAACAACAAGAAAAAGCATTTCTGTTTTTTATGAAAAATTAACATTTGTGAGTTTAAGGGAGAAATCTCAGTTAGCTGCAGCTGTTTTATCCTGTTTTGAGTCACGCAGCTGAGAAATTCACATCAGTTTTGATTCAGAATATTTCTGAAAGCAGAAGCCTTTGTTTGCCTTTTCTATGAATGTCTTGTTGTTGTCAATGTGTTCTCCCTTAAACGTTCTGTTTGTGTTTTATTTTAGACTGCCATATTTTACATTCCTCCCCCCCGACTGAAGGGGCAGTAACAATCAACGCTAGTGAAATCTTCTGTTTATTATCATACACAGATTCTGTTGATTTCTGTCTCTGAGTTGTTTGTTTTTTCTTTATTTTTCTCCTCCCCCTCCTCATTGCTCATGTCTTCGTTGGCGTTTGGTGGTGTGTAACCGTGATTGCGTTACCTTTAGCAATAACAATTGGTCGTCTCGGTTACGTTTGTCCTCAAGAGGTGGCACCCATGCTACAGCAGTTTATAAGACCCTGGTGTGTATTATTCAATCTTTTATTTAATTCATCTCCTCTCTGCTGTCTTCTTCTTCTCGTCTGTCACCTCCTCCTATTTTCCCCTCTTTCCTTCTGAAAAGAGCTCTTTTTTCAGTTTTTTCTTATCAGTTTGTAATCATTGCCAACCATGTGACTAACCCTGTCCTCTTTTAGGTCCTACCTGTGATTTGTTGTTGTTTATTTATTTTGTTTGCCTCAGTAGCACCTTCATTTATGATTACATTAATTTTTTTTGCCATTAACTGTTGCTAACGACTCCTAAGATGCATGGGATCAGATTTGTCACATGTCTGCTGGTTCAACAGCGGAGAAAGGATGCCTTTTAATGTCCGAGGGCATTCCCAAATCCCTTTCTCCTTTCATAGTCACCCAGCTGCATGTCCCTGTCCCAAAATGACCTCCAACTCTTTCAAAAGTAATGCTAAATTCAAGGTGCTATACTGAACATGCTGCTCATAGACCAAAGTAAAGTTCTTCCAGATCAACGTAGCTGTTTTAGTTGTAAACAGTATTATTCTGATCTGTTTTGTGTGCATGCTTGATGTGTTGTAGTATCTGCAGGTCATGATAGACGCAGCTAAGAAAGGCTGGAACCGATAAGAAAACACATGTTAATTTCCTTGATATAGCGTTTGATTTGCTTTAGCTATCCTCAGTTGTAGGTGCATTTATACAGAGTCGTGAGAATGTTTCTGGATGCTCGTGTTGCTAAGTGTGGTGTTGAATTTGACATCCCTGTTGCCAGGTGCACCTCACTGCGCAACATAAGAGACAATGAGGAAAAAGACTCAGCTTTCAGAGGGATTTGCACTATGATCAGTGTGAATCCAGGAGGCGTGGTGCAGGTGAGGTGGTCATGAGGATGTCCATAAGTGCTGAAGTTGAACTCGTGCCTCACGTCTCTTCTTTGGAACAGGACTTTATATTCTTCTGTGATGCAGTGGCCTCCTGGGTCAATCCAAAAGATGACCTCAGAGACATGTTCTACAAGGTAAAAACTACAGAACAATGCTGAAAACTTTGTGGCTCACAACTGGTCCTCCCAACAACCATTAAAGGCTGGAAAAGCAGCTCTTAACCCCAATTTACACTGCGTCCGCTCTGCAGTAAAAACACACCCATTATGATCATTGGGCCTCATGCAAGAACATGTTTGTATTCTTCTCCTAAATTTCTCTTACTTTTGTTCGTACAAAGGGTTCGTACGAACATGTCACGTCAGATTCAACAAACT